CCCCCCCCCCCCCCCCACCCCCTTCCACCCACCAACCCAAATCTTACGCTGTGATGTGATCCCCCACGCCCTTTTCCCCCTTGGCGTCATCGTCGTCCGCCAATAAAAGAGCGCCCGCGAGGAGGAAAGCACCCCCAGCAGCAGCACCACCACCGCCAACTCCGAGGGCTCGCGGAAGAAGAGCAAGCCCGATGATGAAGCCGGGGCGGTAGCGGCGGCGCCAGGAACGCCGTCGTCCTCGTCGCCGTCGGTCAAGCCTGTGACCACGGCCGGCGGCGGCGGCGGCGGCGGCGGCGCGTCCGCAAGCGACGGGCGAACCCCGGCCCTCGTTGACGGTGTGGGCGGGAACGGCAACAGCGAAGGATTGATGATCGACGACGACCACGTGGTTAATCCGGTGCTTGACGACGACGTCGACAGCGCCGGTGGCTGCGACACCCGTGGCGTGGGAGAAGGAGGCTCGAGCGAAGCGGCGACCGCAGCAGCAGCAGCAGCACCAACACCAGCAGTACCGACAGCAGCGGCAGCAGCACCAGCAACCGTGGTACCGGCACCGTCAAAAGCGGCGGCGATGGCGGCGGCGGCGGCGGCGACACCGGCCGTGCCGACGGAGGCGACAGCAATGGTGGTGGTGCCCGAAGCAGGAGCTGCCGAGGGGGAGGGCCCGATCGCGCCCGCAGCTACCACAACCAGCACCGTTGCCACCGCCGCCGCCGCCGCCACCGCCCCTTTCGCCGCGTGCGGTGAAGGGCCCGTCTCCGGGAGAGCTAGGTCTCACGGGGAGATGGCAGCAGGGACCGACCGCACCGCTGCTCCGACTTTGGCTTCGCCATCCGAGAGGGAGAGCAAGTGGCCGAGGTTAGAGGCGCCGTCGCCGGCCAACCCGGGAGTAGGCGGCGACGGCGGCGGTAGTGGGGACCGACACCCGGACGAGGCCCAGGCCGGACAAGGCCGGGCATCGGCGGCGACGGCGTTGTCGTTGGGGGAGGAAGGCGGCGTCGCCGCGGTTGATTCTACGGGGCTCGTGGTCCAAGCACAGCAGCAAGCGAACACCGCCACCGCTACGGCCGCGATCGATCTATCTTCTCCGGGGAAGGGGGCCGGGGTCGAACCCGGGGGTGTCTCGAGCCGCGCCGCCGGGGTGTCGTCGTCTTCGACCGGCGGCGGGACGCCGGCGGCGGCGGCGGCGGCGGCATCCCAAGGGACCAAGAAAAGGAAGGCTCAGAAGGGGAAAGCGAAGAAGAGGAGCAAGGGAGGCAGGACGGTGTTGCGGCCGATGGATGACACCTTCGACGTTTCGCTGAGCTCGAAGGTGTGATGCTTACCCTACGTATCCCGCCTTCGTGATGAATAAATACAGATACAAGTGTCCCGGGGCGACGCTAGCAGTGCTACGGCGTGTTGGTTGGCTAGTCTCACCTGGTGCACGAAACGTCAGGCTGATTGATCGTCTTTGGACAGGCGGGTGTCGTATTTTGATACCTGCATAAATACCTGCCTCGGAATGTGCTTCAGTACACTCTATGTCACCTTACCGGGGATGACCACAGTCGTTCTTTCATTCCTGCACTTTTCCTCGCTGTCAACAAATTTAACAAATTTGATGTTGGATTTATTAACCTGCCCCCCCCGCCAGCCCCTTGCTTGAAAACGTCACAAGGCGGTATTTAGGGCGAAGATTTTTAAGGCAGCACTCCCCTCGAGTATGAACCCCCTTCTCTGTCCTCATCACGGCGATATGCTCTCTCTGCGACGGTGCTTTGGTTGCTTGCATCTCAGGACGTTTATTTCGTCGAAATTCCGTGGAGCCAAGCGCGCATCTCTCCCCTCGCGAAAGTGTTGTAGACTCAGAGCAACCCTTGGGTGCAAGAGCAACCCTTGGGTGCAAGTTAGAATGGCATGTCAGGGTCCAAGGTCATGTGATCCGAGTGCGTTGTCCTGTTGTGTTTCTTTCAGGATCTTGGGTAAGACGTTCATGTATCCCGATAGGCCAAGAACCGGTCATCGTAACAGGTTGATCTGTACTCTCTACTCCATTCCAATACCTCCAACACTCCCGTGTTCACGGCTATAGTATAGTTCCGCCTCTCGTCACTCACTCCCTTGTCCTCGCCTCGATTCCGCCGCAATTTGGTTCCATTTCCAGATGGTGGTCCTCCTAGAGATCATCGCGGCGTCCATCAGCAGGGGCGACAAGGTCCTCGTCTTCAGCCAGCGCCGGCCCGTGCTGGACCTGGTGGAGCGAGTCCTCATGACGAAGGGGTGGGGGGGTTTCGTCGAAACACCAGCGCCCGCCCTCCCCGCGTGGCACCGGTCCTTCATGGGGGGCCCCGCGGATACGGCGGCGGCGGCCGGTGCCTGGGGTCCGTGGGAGAACGGGAGGCAGTACTTCCGGATCGATGGGGAGACGCCTTCCAAGAAACGGTCAGTCGATACGATACGATACGTGTGGTGACGTGCATGGCTGATGGATGTGTTGAAGCGCCGCAGATTTCGGAGGTAGATGTGTGTAGTTGGTGCTATGGGCGGGCGTCGAAAGGTTTCGCTCGCATTTCATGTGTACAGTACCGTTACGGAGGTGTTGTTGCTCAGGGGTCTCCCGCGCTGCCCGGGCTGTATTGAATCGTGAATGACGAACGGTAGATACACCAGAACGGATAGGCCGGGTGTGAGTACAACCACGTTCCAAGGTCTGCTTCAGATACGAGTGTTCTTCTGTCTGTTCAACCATGACATTTGCTTCTTCATACCTACCAAGGACACATGAATTAACGAGGAAATTACATCCCGATTCAGATTATGTCCTTTATTTTTTGTCAAGAATTGAAGAGGCAAATCCGTGTATGTAGTAGATTGCTCCCCTCTTGTCTTGCTCGCGTGCCTCCCTTTTTGTGTCCCCGACGCTCTTGCCTGACATAACCGCACAACCGTTGTGTTTTGGCCTCCCTCCCTCTCTCTGGGCCTGCTCCGTTGGGGGCACCGATGCAGGCAACAACTGATCTCGAGGTTCAACGACCCCGAGCGCAAGTCGACCGGGGTGTTCTTGCTGTCGACCAAGGCCGGTAACATGGGCATCAACCTCGTCGCCGCGAACCGGGTGGTGCTCATGGACACCAGCTGGAACCCCGCCAACGATCTACAGGCCATGTTCAGGTGTGCAAGCGCTGCTGTATTCTACACAAAACGTTTGTGTCGCTTTTGGGTGTGGGTTGGTTGGTTGTTCGTAGACTTGGGGGTCCGTGGTCAGGTGAAGAAAGCCGTTGTACGATCTGTTTTGTTGCCTTGCATACACACCGAACGGACAATCCTGCTACTTGTATGAAACGGCAAGAACCTCTATAAGTCGATATTAGAACAAATTTATCCACGAACAGAGGTTCTTCTTTGACTCGGAGGCTTGTTGAATCGAACAAATAAAAAACTACACCTTGTTTCGAAATGTTCTGGAGCGCCGGTGACTTCAGGCAGTAGCGCGTACATGGCACAAGATCTGTGCTTTTTTATCCCAACCCTAGCACTGTAGCTAAGTACTCCCGAAGTCTGATGTCACGTCTGTTGCACTCTGGTCTTTCCTCAGGTTATCTTTTATTTATTTTTTCATCCCATTGATTCTGGACGTCGGTATTTACAACTCACGGGATATTGAGACTGACTCTGGCACGGTCTGTTATTCCCCCGCTCCCCACCTCTCATTAACGTCGTGTGTTGTCGATGATCGCGCCCGCGCGCGCGTGTGTTTGGGCCGTTTGTGTTTTCGAAGGTGCTACCGGTTTGGGCAGAAGAAGCCAGTACAGGTCTTCCGGCTCGTGATGGGTAACAAGTCTCTCGAGTACAAGATTCACAACAAGCAGGTTGGTTTAGCTGGGGCAAGTGTACGAGCGTTGAAACAACAAGCGTGTTAGCGTTGCCTGATGTGCAGCTGGCTAGCTCTCCGGGTCTCTTGGCGTGCCTTGTTCCCCCGCCCCAAGCCCTCATTGACCTAACTAACTAACCCATGCATGGTTTGTTCTTCGATCACCCAAGCCCTCATGGACCTAGTCGATGCCATATTCTATCTTCGTCGATCACCCCTCGTCCCTTGTCTTGGTTCTTGTCTGGCCGCTGCTGCTGCCGTCGCGACGGCCTGCCGTGTGTTGCAAAAACAAAAAACTATTTTTTTTTGTTAACGCAGGTGGCTAAGCACGCCCTAGCGGGACGCGTCGTCGACGCCAGGAACCCCGGTCGGAAGCTGACTCGCGCCGACCAGACCATGAACCTGGACGCAGAGTACTCGAGATACGAGGTGAGGATGAAAAGAACTCAATCCTAAACACTCTGTACCACCACCGTCCGTCAACAACCCAGGGCAGGAAAAATAACACCAAACTCATGTTGGGCGGGGAGAAGACACAAGAGGCACCCATTACACTCCAAACACTCTGTACCACCACCGTCCGTCAATAACCCAAGGCAGAAAAAATAACACCAAACTCATGCTGTGCGGGGAGAAGACACAAGAGGCACCCATTACACTCCAAACACTTTGTACCACCGTCCGTCAATAACCCAAGGCAGAAAAAATAACTCCAACTTTCATGTGCGGGGAGAAGACACAAGAGGCGCACCCATTTCCCGCGGGTCACAGCAAAAATTCACGCCTCAAACGATTGTGTGAAGCGGTGTCACAAAACATCCCCCAAGGGCCCGCGCCTTCCCGCGTGTTTCGGAGCGAGAGATAAGAGGCAACGCCGGTACCGTGCCGTGCCTACCCCGTCGTGAGAGGCTACATATATTTCCACATCGGGATTTGACGGCCGGCAGCGAATCACAGAGAAAGTGAATTTGAACTTTGTATGCATATACCAGTACTTATTTAGTGCTAGACTGTATTTCATATCATCGTTGGTCTGGAGTGGGAAACCAAGAGGAGTTTGGGGTGTTGGCACGCCGCGTTGTTTTTGTTCTTTTCCGAGGGTGCGTCGTGCCAGCAGAGACCCCATGTGACGGCCATGGTCACCATCAGCCGTGCCTGACACGTGCTATTTACGAATGAATACAGTTCGGTTCCTTTTGGCGTAGTGTAACCACTTTTTGTGCCGAAAATGACACAACTGCTGTGTTTTCTTTTAATGAGGTTTCTACTTATGTATGCCACTTTCCTGCTTACCCACAGACGGTGGATCCAGAGAACGCCACCATCGACAACGACAACGTCTTGGCGTCGATTCTCGGCATCGGAGACGATCCGGCGGGGGGAACCATCCCCCCTCCCCCTCCCACGCCGCTTCCGCCGCCGAATGAGGCGTTTCCAACTGCGGCAGGACAACAGCAGCAGGGTCATGACCCTGCTGCTGCTTCTGATGATGATTCTGGTGGTGCCGCCGCTGCCCCTGGCAGCGTTGCTGCTGGAGGTGGGGGCGGAAGCGGCTCAGGGGTTGAACCTTCTTCGGCGCTGGTACCAAGGTATGAAGCCTTAGAGGTAGGGTTCCGCCTCCCCCCGCCCCCGCCCCGCTCCCTCCGCGTTGCTGTCTTGTCCGCGCGAAGTGCACGGGCGGGGGGGGGGGGTCGATTGTCGCTGACATATCTGGTTTTTGTTGCCCGTTTCCTGGGGGGGGGGAGAAGGGGGAGCCTGTGGACATGTGTGCCCGACGGTGAAATCCTAAGATGCATGCCCACCCGGAATGCTCCAATGACGTTCTTCGGGTTGTATTTGAGTATACTGTTTCAGTTGGCTGCTTCGCGTGCAACAATTGAAAAGGGCACGTCGGGTGATGGGTCGAATAGCTGGCCACCAACACGGCATCCTTGCGTGTTCGTAGGACGTCTGTCTCTCTTTGTCTCTCGGTCTCTGCTCCTGCTGCTCTGGCGCCGGTTGCTTGTCGCCGGCGCAGCATGTACTGTACACGGGCAAGGCACCACCACGTGACCAGCACCGAACAGCGTTAAGTACTTGTTTCAAGCACGTCAACAATTTGTTTTACGCGGGCGCCTGTTGCCCATCGCCAATACCGTGCGTACACACGCGAGGCAACATCACGGGGTACTCCGCACGCATCCGTGTGAACAAGCGGCCACCGAAAGAGACAGTCAAACGATGATAGGGGTGAACGCATGTGACGAGTGTTTCGCCGAGCTTCTTCTGAATCCATGGATCCCCCTCCCCACCCCTCCCTGGGCGGTCCCACGGAACACAAACGCATGTTCTGCGAGGTCAATGGTCTAACGACTACGGCCTTCACGACTATGAGTACCCCCCCCCCCCCCCCCCCCCCCCC